GAAACGGCCCTGGCAGGTGAGCAGAGCGACAAGCTGAGGGCGGGAATAGCTTTGATTGGGCCAACTTCTGTTGGTGAGAGAGGCCAGCTTTTGAGCCACACAGAGCTCTTCCTCAGAGGTCTGGGAAAGGAACTGCCAGCCTCACAGGTGGAACAGGTCATTTAGCGTAAGGAGTTAGCACCTATTTCAAGGGACCATTCCAGGTAGCGTGGCCCGTTAACGCTCTGCAGTCATAGGACAGCAAGGGGGGTTAGTGAGTTCCAGCTTGTTGTAATAAGCCAGGTGCGGCCAAACTTACTGACCTTCTGAGCTGCATATCTTCAGACGTTTGAGAGCCGGGGTGCGCTTGCCGTGGGCTTCAGGGGGGTCTTAGGGCTTGATGCTGAAACCCTGCTCCTGCTGAGGTCCCGAGCCCCGGCAGGTGTGCCCGGTGGGGCTGAAGCCCCAGGCCCCCTCCCCGCTGGGCAGAAGCCAGAAGCAAGACATTGGTGGGAGGGTTACGTGGGGTCACGTACATGACAAGTGTTTGTCTAACCTGCTCTTTAAAATCTCCAGTGATGGAGATTCCACAACCTCCCTAGGCAATTTATTCCAGTGCTTAATTTATTCAGTGCCTAACCTGACAGTTCGGAAGTTTTTACTAATGTCCAACCTAAACCTCCCTTGCTGCAATTTTATCCCATTGCTTCTTGTCCTGTCCTCAGAGGTTAAGAACAATTTCTCTCCCTCCTCCTTGTAACAACCTTTTATGTACTTGAAAACTGTTATCATGTCCCTCTCAGTCTTCTCTTCTCCAGACTAAACAAACCAGTTTTTTCAGTCTTCCCTCCTAGGTCATGTTTTCTAGATCTTTAGTCATTTTTGTTGCTCTTCTCTGTTCAGTCCATGATTTTTAGTGTCTAGCAAAGTTATGAATTTAAGCTCCCAGGCTCATCTTTTGAAGGCATTGTGCAGGTTTCCTTTGAGGACGAGGACTGAGGGACCAGATACGGAGTGATGGCTTTGTGAGAAGTGTTCACCCACAGGTCTTAGGATGTTTTTATCTTTTATTCTTTTCCTGTGTGAGTTCATTTGAGAGCGCAGTGACTGTCTGGTTTCACCCACTTAGTTGTTATTGGGGCATTTAGTGCACTGGATGAGGTACCCCACATGTTGTGATAGGCACGTGTAGGACCTATGGATCTCGAAAGGTGTGTTGTGGGGGAAGTTGATCCTTGTAGTAGTGGAGATACATCTGCAGGTTTTGCATCTGTTGTTTTGACAGGGTCTGGTGCCACTTTCAGTTCGTGTGTGCTGGTCTGGAGGGAGCTTGCTTCTGATGAGCTTAGTGAGGTTGGGGGGTTGTTTGAGGGCCAGAAGAGGGGGTTCAGGGAAGATTTCTTTCAGATGGAGTCCCCATAGCGTATGTTGTTTGATGATACCCCGTACGGGTTCCATTTTGGGGTGGTAGATGATAACTAGGGGTGTGCGGTTGGAGGAGGTTTTATTGATTGGCAGGTGAGTGACAGACAGATGAGGGTGTGGCCGATTGCACCGTCAGGGAAGAGCTATTAGCAGGGAAATAGAGATGGGCCCAAAGCCCTGAAGTTAGCTCCAAACTTGCCCATCGTTTGGGATATTCAGATCTGGGACTTTCTTATGGGCCTCTCTAGAAACCAGTGATTAGCCAGTAGAGCGGTGAGTCCCCTCCCCTCGATCAGTACTGTGGAGTGGCGATGAGTGACCAGTTCTGCACCAGGAGCTGGGTCCATGTGAGTGCCTGTAGCAACAGAGGGGAAAGAAGCTACTGTTTCAGCGGGGACTGGGGAGGAAGATTGAGGGGCCAGAACTGAACTAGCCACATTGGATCTGGCCAGTCCACCTTGAGTAACAACTAATCTTCTCTGGCCAGGGGTAAGGCCCGTTGGCAAGGTCTTGTGGAAGAGGCGGGTGCTGCTGCCGCCTCTGCTGCCCCTGTTTTGTGGCTACAGGGCATCCGTCTCTACAGAGGTCACGGATGGTGCCTTTTATGACCACCAGAAAGGTTCAGACATAATCCAGTTACCAAATCAGAGCTGGGTTTACACTTCTGGAGCTGACAGAAGCGGGGAAAGGAGACCAGACCCTGCTGACTCTCGTAGTGAATGGGCAAACGGCTCTGGCAGGGCCTCGCTTACTGCCCCTCCTGCCCCATTGCTGGAGAACAAGACAGTGCCAGCTCGTGAGCTGCTCAGCAGAGCAAGGCCCCAGATGGTCACTTGCTTTGTACCTGGCCATGTGCCTTGTGCCAGGTCCCTGAACGCTCTCTTGTGTCCCTCTTGACCTGGGTCAGTTTACAGGGAGAACCCAGCGCCCAGGCCTGAGCTGAACGACCTCCAGGAGAACTGCCTAGTCCAGACCACCGAATGGAGTGCCTGCTCCAAGAGCTGTGGGATGGGCATCTCCACCCGCGTCACCAATGACAACCCCCAGTGCCGCTTGGAGAAGGAGAGCCGACTCTGCATGGTCCGGCCCTGCGACTTCCCCAGGGAGAAGATCATCAAGGTACTGGCTGCTGGTGGAAGCTGGGAGGGGGGCCACCAGCGTCTGTGAGACTAGATGGAGCAGGAGCAGGGCTGGAGCGGGTAGGACAAAGCAGGACGAGGCTGACTACACAGTGGTCAATTCCCTGCCATCTCAGAGGCCTTGGGTATGGGCAGCACCGCGGTTCCGTGTGCCTGGGACACACGTCAGTTCAATCCAGGTCAGACTAGATGGCCTTACAATCTATGAAACTACGGATACATGGTCAGGAGGCACCAGCTGATCCCCCAAGATGCTGGTCATTGCCCACCCGT